TGTAAAGTTGGACAATTTCTAATTCCAAAACATTTTCATGTCCTTGAAAGCAAACGTGGTATCCATACTCCCCACTTCAGCCCTAACAACCACTAATCTCTTACATTTGTTTCTATGAGTTTTCCAATTCTAGACACTTAATGCAATGGAATCATGAAATGTCTGAACTTTTTCACCTGGCTTCTTGTATTTAGCATCATGTTTTCAAGAACACTTGAACTATCCTGTTGTAGAACTTCATTTCTTTATGTGATTACAAAAAAAAAATTATTGCATGAATACAACACATTCGTTTATTCATTCATCAGCCGATGAACATTAAGTTGTTCCTAATCCTTAACGACTACGAACAACCCTGGTATAAACAAACATCTTAATTTTCTTTAATATATACCAAGGAGCAGACCTGCTGGGTAATGTGGTAATTCTGTTAAAAATTTCTGAGAGATTATCATGCTGTTTTTCAGAAAGGGAAACACCCTTTCCATATTCTATTTTTTTCCCTAATGAACTTATTCTTCTTTCCTGTAGACTTCATGTTGGATGAGAAGTAGAATCAAACTATGGTTTTGATTTGCAGTTCCCCAATGAATACTGGCAGTAAGAATATTTCCATATACTTACTTGCTGCTTGTATACATTAACTGAAGAAATGCTTATCTGCATCTTTTTGTTGAGTTACAAGATTAAGTTTATTCTGAACTGATGGCAAATACCTCACCAATGGCATTATTAACAAACATGTATTCCTATTCTAGGGGTTGTCTTTCAGTTCTTTAACAAGACCATTGCAGCAAAGGTTTTAATACTGAAAATAATTTATTCTCCCTTTTGTTGCATATGGTTTAGGGATCATATTTTTAAAAACCACTGCCTAATCCAAGGGAAATAACGACATGGGCAACATCTGTCAAAATATGAACACAGCCTGATAGACAGACCAGAGGATATTACAAGTAAATATTTCCTAAGTAGCTAAAAAAAATTTAAAGCCAAAGGCTGGGTAATTTTCCAGAAGACACTTTAATGTGAGGCATGTTGATAGTGACAAAGTCTCACCTCTCAGCTTTAGCCAGAGAGCAAACCAGACAGCGGTTTAGAGGAGTGTAGCCACTCATTCAATGCAGAACAGGTTATAACTTTTGAACTGTATAACTTAGGCGCAAGGCTCACAAAATCATCAGATCTGACTTACATGCAAGTGATATATTTTGAAGCATTTTAACTTAAAATAACAAAAGCATTATGAATAGTTTAAGTATCATGTAACACTTGCCAACGCTTACCTGCTGTCAGCATTTTGCTGCACTTACTTGGTAATTTATTATCCACATTTTTTATTCACATACTACTTTTCTGAAACACCAAGATTACAAACACGGGTTCCCACTTGCTAGATACTTCAGGGCATGCTGCCTAAAATTATGGATCTGTCCCAATAAATCATAACACAGATAGCAATTTTAGTGAATTTATAAACAGTGCAACTCTTTTTGCTATCCGTATTTCAAATTTCAAAGCCTTATTTTGCAAATTGACCTAAAATGTACTATAGCATTTGGTCTTATAGACAGAAGCCACTTTAAGGTGAATTAAAACATTTACTGGTAACATATCTTTAGTAGTATCCAACCCGGTACACTTTCTCCATCCTTATCTTTTCTGACATTTAACAGTTTTCTATACCATCGTCCCCCTTTACTTCCTTCCCAGCAAGCTCTTCATTCCTGACTTGTCTATCTGTGTCCTGCACTAAGTCATGTTATGTGCTTCCAAATGGTGAAGGACACAAATGACGCCATCCTTCTCAGGCTGTCACATCCAGAGGCACGCACACTGTTGGCTTGTTCCTCGACGGTGACCCTAATTCTGAACACACAGTCTCAGTGTTGCTTGTTTCTCCATTATGCAATTACTATTTTTCCCCCAGAACTAATAATAAATCTCTAGAGAGATATTCAAATATAAAATAGCCCATTCCTCTTCAAAAATAAATTTTATAACAGTATTTATACTGTTGTTATAAAAAATAACCTCTATATGTAAAAGAAAGCTAATTCATTTAGGGTGAGAGTTATGTGCCTGAATTAACTCCATGCCAGTTTAAATATGTTTTATTGCACTAGACTATGTGCACTGAGTATTTATGAAAACTGCTCATTAACTGCCCAGTCACTATAGAAAATGGCAGTACAACTTTTAAACCTAACTAGTGTCAATGAGCTCATGTTTGTTCCATAAAGATAAATCTATTTATTTCATGCCAGAGAAGGGAGTTATAAATTAAATGATACAAAGATGTTCTTTGCTGTATCTTTTAGAAAACATGATTTTTAAAAAGAAAACAGAAACATGTACAGAGAAACTACCTTCATTTAGATTATCTATGATTCTGAACACAACCCCCAGTTACTCCTTACCTTTTCTGAGCAGTGTGACTTTGAGGAGAGTGTTAATCCAAGGCTTTAACAAAAATTAATCATAGCCTCATATAAAACGTTCAAGTGCTTTTAGGGTCTGTGTTTGATACCAAGGAAAAGGAGGGCAATTTTGGGGAAATAGAACATTTTTTCTTTAAAGAAAGGTTTTAAATAAAAAGAACTGTCTCTAAAGCTGCTTCCTGTCAATCTTAATACTAACTCTCTGCACTATGGAGAGAACATTTTCATGATAAACAAGGGCCCTATACAACAGTTCCTGACAGAAGCCAGGAACGCTGGGTGAGGTCACTAGGTAGGCAAAGGCTGCCACTCTTACTGGAATACATACTTTGCTGAAGTCCTTTTTGCTTTTGAACCCATAGTCTCATCTATATTCTCTGTCACAATTTCAACACCATAAAATCCCCGCATTTCTGACAAAAGAACTAATTTGTTGGTTTTTGTGTGTGCTGCCACTGTTTCAAACAATAGAATTGAACAATGTGTTGATGTCTTATTGCTTGTTTTATTTTCATGGAAAGCGTTTATAGTTATAGTTCAAACAATAAAGAAAGAGAGATTAACTCTCTGAAAAGAAAATGGTTAGAAACATAATTTACAAATAAGGCAAGTGGAGAAGCTGTACCTGCTGGCCCAATCCATACTACCTCCACATTACCAGCTGGGGAACTTGACAGATAACACTAAAATCACACCCCTCATATGCCAAACAGCACAACTGAAGGCCAGATAGCTCTAGATTCAACTTAGGTCTCTGTGCTTTCATGTTAAATGGCAAGTGTCTTCCAGAGATGACCAGCAGGGAAAGCAGACACTTCCACTCAAGGGACTCGGTACATCCCCCTGTCTTTCCCAGCCCCTACCTCCCCCAACTGACCGCAGAGCTGAAGCCTACCCTCATCATGATCCTTTGTTTAAATAAGATCTTAGTTCAAGATCAATATTCAAAGTGGAAGAGAAAGCTTAAATGGTTACAAGAAACTCCTATGGCTTATTACATTTACTTCCTGTTTGGAAAGTGCTGTTAGACACGTTTTGGAAATATCTGAATAACCATTTTCCACTTGTTCACTATGCTGCTCGATATAGTAGCTACTAGCCACACGTGGCTATGAAAAAAATAAGTGTAGTTTAAAATTCGGCTCTTTGGTTCTAGTAGCCACATTTCAAATGCTCAATAATTTCACCGCGTGGCTCTGGCTACTCTACTCGATGACGCAGACATCAGTGTTTCAACTACTGTGACAAAGCTGGTAGGGTTTGCTCCAGGCATGCCAATCAGCTTTACAAAACACAATTACAATTTTATTTCAGAAAGATTATGAAGCAAAAAAAATCTATAAATTCTCTTATGCAATAGGTCTCCTGATGCAAAATGCAAGGTTTTCAGGTGAAGCTGAGATAATGGGAGGACAGAGAGCTCAGCAATATTTCACAAATATCAATCTCTTGCTGTGACAATGCTCCTATATACTACATTCACAGACATTTGGTGGCCCCACTGATTTACTAGGTAATATACTTACAGAGTAGTATTGTATAAAAAATAAAAAAAAATCAGTTATCTAACTGAGAAATTTGTCAGTAAGCTATTTTATCACTGAGTGAGCATCATAATATGACCTCACTAGGCAACATAATCTTCGGTGTCCACTGTCACACACATGGTTTACTGTTGTTCAAAATGCCAGTATGCTGTATCACTACACTCTTTAGTTGACTTTCTCTATTTTTTTTAAAAAAATTACTCAATGTGTAATAGACAACACATATCAGAAGTTTCTTTATTTGCTATTTTCAAATATGTAAACATGTTATTTTTCAAAAAAGAGGCTGCCTAGCTTCATAAATCTGCAGCTGAGGTGCTTTAATGCCAAATAAATGTCATAAAGCACAGCTGTTTCTAAAACTTCCATGAACAGAAATATGGGGCATATATAAAAATAAATCCACAAATTATGGGGTTTTTTTTACTCCCAAGATCAAGAATCTTAAGTTCACGGAGAACCAGCAACTCAATAACTGATGCCGAGTGACTATATGACTGCTGTGACTCACGGCAAGTCATGTGGCACAGAGAGGCGAAGCCTGGGTAGACACATAACAGGGCATAGCAGACGACAAGAGAGCAAAAGTGAGATCCACAAGTCTGTGAGCCATTTCTGTTAGGATAGATACAGACACAGCCCAGAGCTACTCTTACATGGCCTCAGTTTCCTTTATTCTTATCAACCTTCCTTGAGGAATCAGACATCTTGGTCGGCTTGTCAGCTTTGCTCTCATTTTCTCTTATAAATACTGAGGTTCCTCTTCACAAGTATTCACAGAGGAGAAAAGGGAGCAAAACGAAAGAAGAAAATGGGTTTCTCATTCATCTTGATCCATCATGAGAAGAATTTGTGAAATCTGATTTTTCTTTGGAACTGTAAACTGTGCTATAGACGAAGCTCATTGGCTTCTACTCAAGAGGTGGAAAAGTCATCTGTTTCAACAAACTGGTTTGAAGCCACATGCACTAGCTACCAGGTTTTCAGGTTATGACCCAGTTTTCCCGCTTACCTTGGCTTTTCCATCCTGGGCTGACATATATCCTACGCACATGCTCTCTGTAGTGTGGCTCCACAGAAATTCCACTGTGTGAACAAGAACACAAATAGGCACATTCACATTCACAGATGGAAAATAAATCTTCGCCTTTTTAATAGAACAGTTAAAGATAGCTTTATATTTAACACTCATTCCCTACTTTCCATTTGCTCCTTCATAAATGTCAAGATGATTTAGTGCTCAAAACTGTAATGCCATTTACTGTGAAATGAAAAATGTATTTCTTTCTTGTCAAAACTTATGATTATTACATGTAAAATAAATGCACTTGTGTTTGAACTTAGAACATTAAACACTTATACATTCATAATACTATATCTAGTGATTTAGTAAATGTAATATTCCACAGTATAGCTTCTTTCAACATACACATATGCACACAGCCTTAGTCTCTACTTAAGGCATAAAGCAGAGACTCATGAAATACCAATGGATCTGAACTAGCTTGTTACAGAGAGTAAGAAAATGCTACAAGAATGACAAGGACTTATCAAAAAGACTCAGGGGTTAGCCTGAAGGTCCCTTACTAGCCAAATCTTCTCCCAACAAAGTGACAATGATAGATTATAATCACTGAGCAAATTAAGAACCAAAGAAGCAATGCTGATGGAAACAAGTGAAGAAATAAGAAAGGAGATAAACTCTTCTTTCCTTGTAGCAGAGTCAGTGAATAAATAAAGAAGATGCCTATTGAATGCTTCTCACTCAAGCTGAAAGAAATGAGTTCAAAACCTGAAATTAACAGGAGAAGGAGCAAAGTAATTCCCCCAAAATTGTCAGCTTACCAGAATATGAGCTCGGTGACACTTGTATGTCCCCCACATTGTGTACACACAGAATAACAATAAATAATACTTTAAAATTGCATTCCTAACAAGACATTGTAACATCCTTCTGAGGCTCAGAGCATAGAGTGGAAGAAGAAGCAGAAAGAATGGAAGGCAGGGAGAAAGGCTGCAAAGTGCCATCTGCAAGCAAGATATAATAATTACAATCATGATTGGTGCCTTATTCAGTCATCACCTGAAAGGCTTCCTCCTGCAGCAGATAGAAAAAATACAGAGACCCACAAGCAGACATTATACAAAGAAAGATACGTTGGAAGACACAGCTCTAAACAAGAATAAATCCCTTACCTTGGCAATCAGGGAACTCTGTAGAAGAAGACACTGAAGAAGTCAGGGAGACAGGAAGGGACAAAAGACACCAGGAAAATAAGGCTCTCTAAAACAGCTGAGCATACCTCATATGAACTCACAGACTGAAGCAGTAATCACAGGGCCTACCCAGATCTGCACTAGGTCCGCTGCATATATGCTATAGCTCTCAGTGTAGTACTTTTCTGGGACTCCTGAATGTGTAAATAAGTGAGACTGATTCCTGTGTTTGAATCATTGGCCAAAAGTGTTGTAATTAATATAGTTTTTCTGTGATTATTTGGGTCTGGATGGCCAGAAAACGAAAGAACAGTCTCCTTCAACAAAATGGTGCCCATATGTTTGGGGCTAACCTGTGTGACCCAGTTGGATCTGGGTACTTGTATGCCTGCTTGGGGATTAGGAGGAAAGTAGCTAAGAGCATGCCGACCACTCAATACCCCCGCCTGGGCAAGCAGCTGGAGAGGGTCTGCTAGGAGTGCACAGGCAGGAAAGCATGGTAGATTCCTGCCAACATACACAAAGACATTTCTAGGCTGCACAGCATTCTGCATGGCAGTTTTAGCTTTTACTCAGACAAAAAGGGTTCACATGCTGCACGCTCCTTCCGAGAGTTGAGATGGTGAGTGTGGCTCCTAACCAGCCCATCCCAGAGCTGGCAGTAAAGGTACCTCTGACATACTGAAAGGTTGAGAGAGGCAGAGGCAGCATCCAGGACCACTGAGACCACACCTTTTACCATTTTAAAATGTTCCTTGTCAGAAAAGAATTTCAGATGCACAATAGGACAGACTCAGACATAAAGGACTCTAAACGAGACTGGGGTAAGGGGAGATGGGGAGAGAAAAGTTAGAAGGGAAGGAGGGGGGGGCCTTGGGGAAACAGGAGGATTGGGATAAAGGAAGGTTGGACAGGGGAGCACGGAACCACAATTCTTAGTTAAGGGAGCCACCTTAGGGTTGGCAAGAGACCTGACCCTAGAGGGGCTCCCAGGTGCCCAAGCCGAGGTCCCCAGTTAGTTCCTTGGGCAGCTGAGGATAGGGAACCTGAAATGACCCTATCCTAGAGCAATACTGACGAATATCTTGCATATCATCATAGAACCTTCATCTGGTGATGGATGGAGATAGAGACAGAGACCCACACTGGAGCACTGGACTGAGCTCCCAAGGTCCCAATGAGGAGCAGAAGGAGGGAGAACATGAGCAAAGAAGTCGGAACCACGAGGGGTGCACCCACCCACTGAGACAGTGGAGCTGATCTAATGGGAGCTCACCAAGGCCAGCTGGACTGTGACTGAAAAGCATGGGATAAAACTGGACTCTCTCAACATGGCGAACAATGAGGGCTGATGAGATGCAAAGGACAATGGCACGGGGTTTTGATCCTGCTTAATGTGCTGGCTTTGTGGGAGCATAGCCAGTTTGGATGTTCACCTTCCTAGATATGGACGGAGGGGGGAGGTCCTAGGTCTTACCACAGGGCAGGGAACCCTGATGGCTCTTTGGACTGGAGAGGGAGGGGGAAAGGAGTGGGGGGAGGGGGAGAAGGGTGGGAGGAGGGGGAGAAGGATTGGAGGAGGGGGAAACTTGTTTTTTTTCTTCTTCTCCTTTTCTCAATAAAAAAAAATTAAATTCTCTTATTTCTCTGTTAGGTTTCTGTCTGATTGACCTGTCCATTGGTGAGAGAGGAGTGTTGAAGTCTCCTACTATTAGTGTGTGCGGTTTGATGGCTGCCTTGAATTTTAGTAATGTTTCTTTTATGTACGTGGGTGCTTTTATATTAGGGGCATAGATGTTCAGGATTGAGACTTCATCCTGATGAACTGTTCCTGTTATGAGTATAAAATGTCCCTCTCCATCTCTTCTGATTGATTTAAGTTTAAAGTCAACTTTGTTAGAGATTAGTATGGCCACACCTGCCTGTTTCTTAGGTCCATTTGCTTGATAGGCCTTTTCCCAGCCCTTTACTCTGAGTAGGTGCCTGTCTTTGTGGTTGAGGTGTGTTTCTTGTAAACAGCAGAATGTTGGATCCTGTTTTCTTATCCAATCTCTTAGCCTGTGCCTTTTTATAGGTGAGTTGAGTCCATTGACATTAAGTGATATTAATGAGCAGTGGTTGTTAACTCCGGTCATTTTTTTTTAGTCGTAGAGTTTGTGTGTTTCCCTTCTTTGTTTTGTGTTGGTGAAGGGTCTCTAGATGTCTGAGTTATTGTGGTCATTGTTGGACTCCTTGGTTAGTGATTTTCCTTCTATTACTTTTTGTAAGGCTGGATTTGTGGCTGCGTATTGTTTAAATTTGTTTTTATCCTGGAAAATTTTATTTTCTCCATTTATAGTGAATGAAAGCTTGGCTGGGTATAGTAATCTGGGCTTGCACCCATGGTCTCTCAGTTTCTGCAGTACATCTATCCAGGACCTTCTGGCTTTCATGGTTTCCATGGAGAAGTCAGGTGTAAGTCTGATAGGTTTACCTTTATAAGTAATTTGGCCTTTTTCCTTTGCAGCTCTTAATATTCTTTCCTTATTCTGTATGCTTTGTGTTTTGATAATTATATGGCGAGGGAAAAAAAAATACATGGGAATGTGGGTGACAGTTATGTGGCTTGATCTGTTGGGAAGGGACCTGGCAGTGGGACCAGGATTTATCCTGGGTGCATGAACTGACTTTTTGGAGCCCATTTCTTACGGGGGGGGGGGGGGGATACCTTGTTCAGCGGTGATGGAGGGGAGGGGCTTGGTCCCATCTCAATTTGGTACGCCCAATCTTTGTTTACTCTACAAGGGAGCCCTTACCTCCTCTGGTGAGTGAATGGAGGGGGTGGAATGGGAGGAAGGTGGAGAGGCAGGAGAAGGGAGGGGAGGGGAACTGGGGCTAGTATGTAAAATTAAAAAAGTTTTAAATTAAAAAAATAGAATACAAAAAAAAATTTAAAAAAAATGTATGTAGGCTTGGGAGAGAGTAGAAAAAGAGTATAGAGGGGGCTGGAGAGATGGCTCAGTAGTTAAGAGCACTGGTTGCTCTTCCAGAGGTCCTGAGTTCAATTCCCAGCAACCACATGATGGCTCATAGCCATCTGTAATGAGATCTGGTGCCCTCTTCTGGCGTGTGGACATACATGGAGGCAGAATGTTGTATACATAATAAATAAATTAAAAAAAGAAAGAGTATAGACAGTTATAGAAATAAATAGTTTAAAAAAATAAAAACAAAGCCTTTAAAGGGACAGTAAAAGTAATATAAAAGAGAACAGACAGACATAGATTAAAGGAGTAAAAAAGGCCATGTAAAGACAGAAATATACAGAGAGTCTAAATTATGCAAATTATTTCATTAAATTTTTTGACTGCAGAGAGACATTTGATTCTGGGGGCTGCTAAGCTAAACTAACATATATACATTTTAAAGGTATCTTGACTTCAAAATTTGAATTGAAGGATATGTTGCTTTGGAAAAGAGGTTCTACTTTTGTTTTCATAGGAAATGAGTCTGTGGATTCCTTCCAAGCTAATACAGTTTGAAAGAACAAGACCCTCCAAAAGTTCCCTGTAAACTCTAAAAATACTTTTCCCAACAAAAAGCAGGAAGCATTGGAGAAAATAATGCCAAATTCTCAAAATGACTGTTTATAAATGTTTGTTTTCATTTAAAGGGGAATATGATATAGAAATGAATGTTTTGTATTGGTATGGATCTTGGTCTATTGATACAAAGTCAAGGTCAATTTTGTTACACTGTGTATATATATTTCTGCTCCTTTTTAAAGTATTATGCTTATATATCTCATTAAAAATATATAATTAAAAATTACAGATTAATAGGTAGTCATTTATAATAGTCAAATTTGTAGTCATGTTAGTTAGGTTTTC